CGTGAAGGGGAGGAGACGTAATACTCATTAGTGAACGCGAGGGTCGTTATGTGGGGCAATAAGATTATTAGAAATATTTATTTTTGTTAAGAAGGTGATTATCACAACTGTGGGAGGGTCAAGGTGTTGGAGTTTTCCGGAACATTGAATAGAAATGTGGCAAATGATAAAGTCTACGATGGAAACAGAAATGGGACTGTTGTTACACTGTCATTAGTGAGTTCGGAATTTTAGCCAACAATATGATAATAAAATAATTTAGAGAGAGCAGATGTGCTGAGGATGAAAACTACAATAAGTTGATAGGTCTCAAAAATTGGGGAAAGTACACGCTAGCAGACACATTAGACATGAGGCTGGGGGTTTGAATGAGAGAGAAAATTTACAATAAAAAAAATGATATTTTCGCGTGCTTGATACGCAACAATCCGCTGATATTTTCAATTAAACTCACTATTTTCAGAAATATAATATATATAACTTAATAATATAATCTTTCTGTATTATAAAAATCCAAATGGACTTCTGGTGATGAAACTTTGGTACTCAAAATTAAGACACCAAAATTAAGGGTTACAACGGTCAAAATAAGGATTATAAGAGTCAGAATAAGGGTCACGGGGGTCCGATTTAGGGTCACAAGCGTCAGATTAATGGTCACAAGGGTTAGAATAAGCATCCTAATAAGCGTCAGAAGGATCAGATTGAGGGTCACAAGATTAAAGGTCACAATGGTCATATTAAGAGTCACCAGAGTCAAAGTAAGGGTCACGAAGGTTAATGAAGGTCAGATTAAGGATCCAAAGAAGAGTGATGGGGGTCAGAAACTAAGGGTCAACATAATGGTCTCAATATCTCTTTATATTGTGAAAATTCAAATCGACTTCTGGTGATGAAAATTTGGTGCTCGAAATAAGACTCTAAAATTGAGGGTCAGAAATGAAGAGTCAAGAGATGTATAATGAAGGTCAGATTAAAGGTCAGAATAAGGATCACGGCGATCATATGGGGTTCACATGGTGGTTGGCGAGTGGAGCGAGCAGGCAGGGTACCTAGTATAGTATAATATAATAGGGGAGGGTAAAACAAACAACTGACAGAAAATTGGAAATTTTTGTTTTTTTGCTTCCGAATGGAAGCCTTATAGTCTTTCAAATTTAAGTTTCGGTTTTTTTGTGTTATATCGACCCATTATTTTTGGACCGTGTCCGTATGTGCGTATGTACGTATGTTAAAATTATCAATTTTCTGTCAGTGGTCCGTTATGCCCTAGCGGTCCGTTTTGCCGTACCCTCCCCTATAATATTATAACCTTTCAATAAAAGAAATATATATTAGCATATTTCGATATGAGTAAGACAGAATTTTCATGAGTGTGAAGTTGGTGGCCCAAGGCAGAGCCGAGGACTGCCAATTACACGAGCTAAAAATTCCGTCTCACTCGTATCGAAATATACTAATGTAACTTTTCAGATTAATTCACTACAGATGTGTTCTGCAATTAATATCAGTTGATTTATTATTCAAGGATGGATAGCACCTTTAGACTTTTCGTTTAGCAATCATGGATAGCCTGACTAATGAAACCTCAATGCAAACTTTCCTTCTAGCTCACTCGCACAGTTTCCTTAGCAACAAGGAATTTTTGTAGTGAAATACCATCTATCCAGTAGTTAGTATGTAATTTCAACGGCAGGACAAGTGTATTCTGATTTGCTTTTATATGTCCTTGGCGGTTTTTGGTTCATTTGAAGAGTGCTCCTTCACATCGAAAAATAAAGACTTGAGGTTCTCTTAAGGAAAACAGCAAATGCGAAAGCTCGCCAGATGCGCAAAGAACCGAAGAAAGTTAGTACTTTCTTAGTTTGCATTCATCAGCACACGTGAATCCTTATTTATTTATGTTCATGTCCTCTCGTCACTTTCATTGCGTGATCAGCAAGCCATAACGACTGTGGAGGTGAACATATATATAGATGAGAATGAATGTCCCTGAATGTTCTCAGTTTCGTTGCTGATCTTCATCCAATCTTTCGGCTCAATTTTTCCATCATATGCGCACTACTTATTTGGGAGTTTAAGGTCATCGGAGCAACGCAACTGAAAATATAAACCTGTTCTTCAGCTGCCGAAAATTTAGATGCTTATTAACTTTCCGATCGACCCAAAGGGAGGAAGTTATTATAATGACCCCGAAAATCCAATGTTGAATTCCGATGATTTGTCTACGTTTTATGACCTTTTGAGTCATCCTGAAACGTTTTTGAAGACATGTCTGTGTGTGCGGATGTGCGTATGTATGTATGTGACAGAAATTTTGTCCAACAATTTCTCCTGAATAAATGAGCCGACTCAACTTTTTTTTTCAATCAATGCGTCTTTACAGAACTTAAGTTCGAATTAAAACTAATTAGATCATATAAACGATCGCCTCAGCGGTTTGTTCATAATTCGCATAAAACTGGTAAAAAAAACAACAAAAATCGACGGTTTCATTGAAATTCGACGATTTTACCGGAGATAACGATTTGATACACTGAGAAAAAAAAAACTTTTGCTAAGAAATTATTTTTTTGGGAGAAAAAATTATTTTTGTAGGAGCGTATTTCGGCAACCCAGTTATTCTCAGATGGTCCAAGACCACCTCCAAATATTACAATTATGTTGAATTATGGGATCATTATGCTCCATATGACTTTGAATCAACTCCATTGAGAATTATTAATGTTTTGAATTATTCGAAATTATTTTTCGTAAGAAAATCTTAAATTTAAAAAAATTGAAAAATAATGATGAGTATTCATTCAAGCTCATACGTAGCATAATCATCTTATAATTGAACATGATTGTAATATTTGGAAATGCACATGAGCCACCTGGGAATGAGTGGCTTGGAGAAACAGGTTCCTAAAAAACAAAATTCTTCTGCCAAGAAAGTGATTCCTTGGCAAAAATAATTTTTTTTCTCAGTGTATGAATTAATTTTGTATAGTTGATGCATCTTCACACAACTCGATTCTAATTGAATGTTGAGCGGAATCGTCTCAGCGGTTGTTGAAGCAACTATTTGGATGAAACTTTAAAAATTTGCTTGGTAATAGTTTCGCGCAATATCAACCTTTGTTTCCGAACATTTTCTCGAAAAAACGATTTTTCAAAAAATGAAATTTAACACATTGCGTCCATAAGAGCAGTATACTGTCACCTTCAATCCAATAATTGATAGTCTTAAAGTGCTTCGTGCGAAAAAAGTCAATAATGACATTCATCTGGAATTCATATAGAATGTTTATAATCATAATTCAATTATCTACGAATTTTCTTACAATTTTTTCAGATTTCCTTTTCAAGTTTCAAGAGATTTTTCTGTTTAACATGAAACTATAGTACCAGCTCAGATGATAACGCAGTTATCACACCTCATCCAAATCCCATCCGATCATTTCCTATGACGTCACAAAGATGTGGAACGCTATATGAATTCCCTTCTTTAATGTACAAAAAACTTTACAACTCACTGTGACTTTTTTTACTTTGTTGAACCTTTAATCCAACAAAGCGGGAGCGCGAGTTCCAATGCCGAATTGCACGATTCTTAAGATCCTGACAATATCGTTCCACGAAAATTATAAATGTTTCTACCACCGTCTACCTCATTTAGACATGTCTTAACTTTAACACATGTCTTTTTCTTTTATGTACGTATGGTAGGGGTAGTATATTGTTACGTTTCAAGAAATAAGATAGACAATACGTAATTATTAAATAACCGGGACGGACAGTTTATTAATTAAGAAGAGCGGATGTAGACAAGATGATCTCTCTCTTGGATAAAACAGTAAGTAGAATGTCGGTGAATCCAGATGCCAGTCGTCTCTAGGCAGCTTCATGGGTATTCTTCTGATTGAATACAAATTAAGGGATTCGAAGGGGGAAACGCAACAATAGTATCAGCTCAGATGATAACGCAGTTTCACTCTAAACAGAAAAATCTCCCTAAAAGCCCATGTATAAGAAGCGATTTCAATCGTTAATAACTTTAAAAGGAAATCTGAAAAAAATCTAAAAAAATTCATAGCTAATTCACTTGTGATTATAAACATTCTATGTGAATTCCAGATGAATCTCATTATTTACCTTTTTCGCACGCAACACCTTAAAGCGCTTTCTCGTACACATAACCGTATATGACTTTGTTCGTTATACTCTCTTGTTTCTTTGCGACATTGAAAAATATAAGTTTCCGGACAGATAATTGAAAACAATCAAATTAAAAGCATCTCGATTAGCACAACAGCCATATTAGCTGATTTGAATCCGCCCGTTCCTGAGTCTGACAACGGTCCGTTCAAGTGACTATTCGAACTGAATTTACGAAATTATATAGAACACATGTGCAGTGTTGCCACACGATCATTAGAGGTCAAACCAACGAGAGTCAAGTATGGAATTGAATAAAATATTGTTCACAATATTCATTAAAGAAATTCCCAAAAAAATTTATTTAACAATGAAAAATCCAAAAAAGTATGGGGACGGCAAGATTTTTACCAAACCTACATGATGCTTGAAAAAAATTTTAATTTGAACGAAATACTTGTATATGCTTAACCTTAAATTGGACACCCTAAGAGAGAAACCCCGCTGCGCATCGTTTTTCTTTAATTACAATTTTTAAAAATTTAACAAATTAAAAAAAAATTGACTTTGTCAATTGAAATGTCAAAAAAATTATAGTAGTTTTTAGAACAACATATTCCCCAAAATTGCTAAAGAAAACAAATTATTTCGAACAGATGAATTATTTTTTCCCATGTTAAATGAAATAGCCCATGACGCGACGTTGCCGAAAACGCGCCTAAATAACATGGCGACGAATCCCCGCGGAGGTGACGAAAGTCACAGGAACGCGTTTGGTGACCAGATTAGGGTTAAGGAATTCCCCTCAACAAAATGATGCTATCCCCCCATTAAATTCCCTACGAAATTCATGTCCCCAGGTGAAATACTTGGGAGCAGCACCGGTAGGGGGTCGAGTCGCCAGCATCCGCGGCCTCCAGGAGCCCCTGCGCCAGCTCCTGGAGCGCCTGGACACCGCCATGTCAGCGGAACTCGAGATCTCCCGCAGAGGCCTGACCTTCCGCACCTCCGAGAGCTTCGAGAAAACGAACCCCTTCCGTCGCATCGCAGTCTGGAGCGCCCTGAAGCTCCGCTCCCGCTCGAAAACTCCCCAGAACCTCTCCGAGACCCACCACGCCTTCCTTCCCCTGGTCTCCGACGACCCGTCCCCCCAGTCCGACGACAAATACTCCGACCTCTACCGAAGTATGCGAGGGCTAGAATCAAACGTCGGGAAATATCCCCCAGTTTTCGCAGTCATCATGAGACGTCCAGGTGCAGCTCGAGTCCTTGAATGTCACGCATTCGCGTGCAAAACAGAGGAGGACGCAGTGGCGGCAGCTGCCACCCTCTACCGAGCACTCCTGGCTGATCTGGACTCGAATCGTCGACGACCAAGACAATCGAACGGACTGGGCTGCGCTAGTCTAGCGTCAGTGGCATCAAGCTACATGGACCACAACTCAGTCTTCAGTAAGATGGACCACACCAACATCCCACCGCGACCATCGCCCTCCCACCCGATTCGTCCCCCTAGAACCAAAAAAACGTCGACGTCTGGGTCGACCACCGACGGAAGTTCCTCCGTCATCAAAAACAAAATCCCCAGAAGAAAGAAGCTATCCGAGATTAGGCCTGAAGACATCCTCGAGGCTAGAAAGCGAAGAACTTTGGCTGAAGACTCCAGAAGTGTCTTGCAAGAACTGAAAGACGACAGATCAGTGGCTTCGGCAGCTGGGACCAACAGAAGCTCGAAGGGACGAACTTCCAGGAGTAGAAACGAAGAGATCAACAACATGAGGAACAAATTGTACTCTGGAGATAATTCGGTGATGAAGAGCAATGATGAGAACGTCATCTACGTTGGAAAGATGAACAGCTACGAGAGGACTCCGAGGAAACCGAAGACTTTTGTGTCAGAGAGGAACTACTCGTTCGTGGAGAAGAATGGGAGCATTGTTGGAGAGGTCGTGGTGACCACTGAGGCTCAGCTGTATGACAAGAATGTTAAACAAGGGTCCTTCGACCTCGGAAAAAGTTCATCCATTTTTTCTGGGGGGTCTCCTCAGGGGAATGATAATGAATCCAAGAGCTGTGAGAATTCGATATATGAGAGACCGATTGAGAGGAAACGTAGCAGCAGGGAGAAATCGTATGAGGAACATTTCAGAGATGCTGATAAAATATTCAGTATCGGGCAGGAGGAGATCCAATCGTCAAAGAAGAAGCATCAAGGGAGAGCCCAAACTCCTCAGAATAAAATTAACATGTGCAAAAATAGTAATAATAAGGATGAGAGGGGGAATGCTCGGGTTAGAGATGGGATGCAGAGTGTGGGGAGTCGGTACGAGAATAATATACCTCAGAATGACAGGAGTTCGAGGATTGATGAATTCTCGAGGGGCTCTTGTGATGACAAAATGAAGGGCACTTGTGGGCATGGAAGGGAGCGGAAGAAGAGGAATAGGGCGGGGAGTGAGCCCCCTTTGAGCAGAACTGAGGATGCTAGCAAGAAATTGGAGATCAAGCTGAAGAGGTCGCAGAGCGATCTTGAGGAGAGGGGAGACCTGATGACGAGAGTGGAGTTACCCAGGAGGGGGAGCTTTCTGAAGCCGGGAGCGCCTAGACTGCCTAACAATGTCAATGGGGGAACGCCGCTTGGGTTCACGGAGTTGTTTGATGAATTTCGGAATCAGGAGGGACTGACTAGTGTTGATGATATTTTAGCTACGATTATTGGTGAGATTCTACATTTCTATTTTATATTTTTCTATAACGGTTCAATCATTTTCCGTACTGATCTTCACTTTTCCCAGTTCGGGGATTGGTATTGACCCTTTCCCGAACTGACAAAAGTGAGTCACTACGGAAAAATATCATTCACGCCTAGTGCCACAGGGATTTTCGACCAGTATGAGGTTGGCACGCCGAGCCGAAGGCGATCCCAGTGGCACTCGACGCAAAATATAGTATTTCATCACTTGTGCGTAAAGTGGAATTTTACTGACGCTTCGCACTTCGCACATCGTGATGAAAAATAAGGGGCGGTACCCATGGGAAAAGTATTCTTTGACCCTCGGGAGGGTACCACTCGCCTTCGGCCAGCCCCCCACGACTCCCACAGGTCAAAATAGTAGGGAAAGGTAGGGCAAAACGGACCGGGGCGGCAAAACGGACCGCACGGTAAAACGGAACCCTAGGGCAAAACGGACCACTGACAGAAAATTGGTAATTTTTGTTTTTTTTCTTTCCTTCAAATCAAGAACACTGAATGTGTTGAATTAAAAGTGAGTTTCAGCATTATAACCGTCACAGGGGTTTTATAGACAAGAAGTGTCGCTGAACAGCAATTTGATCAGATTTGCTAATCACCTCAAACCACAAATGATTTTGAATTTTAGTTTTTGCTTCCATTCGGAAGCAAAAACTATCAAAAAAATAAAGAAATTATCAATTTTCTGTCAGTGGTCCGTTTTGCCCCACCCTCCCCTATATTGTGCCACTGGTACGTAAAGTTCCACTTTTTCACACGCACGAGTAACACATCCTATTTTTTGTGGTACGAGATCGGCTGCACGTGCTACGCACACGCCCTCTCATCTCACGTAGTGGCGCTTCGGTTCCAGTCTTCCTTTCTCCTTTTTACGATAGGACCTGCCGACTTCACGGTTTCACGGAAATCTCAAAACTTTACAATAAAAAGGGTCTTTTGATATCGTTCGCAAAATATGATTGTTTTCTTGATAGGGGAGGGTGTGCCTGTACCGCCTACCTAAGGGGAAATGCCAGTTTTATATTTTATATTTCAACTACTTGAGTATAAAAAACGTATTTGTGAGACTTCTTTAACTATTGAACTCGTTATTCTCGAAGTCTAGACGCCTAATTCTCCTTAGAATCCACAAAATTGATTGAAAATAAAGGAGAGCCTATTGAGCGGTACTACCCGCCGTCGGGTAATACCGCTCGGCACGATTCCAATGGCGCTCATAGGGTTTTGCGTGTATCGCTCGCGCCGCAACCTAACCTGTACTCGAGTGCTGTCGAGCAACAACGTGGCCGATCCTATGAGCGGTATTACCGGCTCCGCTCGGCGTCATCAAAATTGTTGATAATTATTGACATGAGTGGAGTTTTGAGTTCGAATTGGTCTCAAATTACGCGTGAAAGTACCACGAATCGAATAACCACAGTTTAATATGAGAATTCAGCGTTTGAAACTATCAAAAACCTTAATTAAAAGTCCACAAATTTTGCACTGTAAAGACCTTAAAACTTCGTTAAATAAAGTGAAAATTTTCCGACAATCACATCCTATCATAAAATTCTTCATGATCAGGAACAGAAAGAAATTTTTAAGTTGATGGTTGCGGAGAAAATCGGGTGAGCGGTGTTACCCGCTGAGCGGTACAGGCACACCCTCCTAATAATAAAAAAACAATTAAATTAATTAACTTTCATGACTTCCATTTATTTTAGATCCTGAAGGAATGTCTTTCAATGAGCTCAAACCCCTCTACAAAGAATTTCTCTTAAAACTAGCATCAACATTAACCCAGGACGAACTTTATCAACGTTCAGCAAACATAATGAAACGCCGGAGAAGACCGTCGCGAAGGCGATCAATGAGGAAACCGTGTCTCCTTGGCCGAGCGATCAAAAGATCAGTATCTAAAATCAAAAGTGGACCGACGGAGTTCACTTCTGTTATTTTCCCAGCGAGAAAATTCAATGAGAATTTCGATAGCAGCTCCTCCTGCGAGGCCAGGAACAGTAGGAGAGTTTTGGCCAGTAGATTGAGTAGGAGAAGATCTTCCTGGAAGAGGACGAAGGGATTGACTACTTCAGAGGACAGTGACACAGGTAAAAAAAAACCTCGATTTAAATACTTTCCCCGAAATTCGTCTGGAATTTTAAGAGTGAAGTACAGATGAAAAGATTTGAGTCAATGGATGACATTTGTAAACTGTTAGTCTGAGATTATCTCGTTAATGAGTGGTTTTAAGAGAAGAAGTATGACATAACTTTTTTTTCACAGAATTTCATCAACTCTAGATAAGTTTCTTCTTGTTTGCACTCAGAGTCACTCGCGGTGAAGATAATTGTATAACTGACATTCTCTTTTCTATATTTTTGTTTACTGATTTTTTTGTGATACCTGTCTGAAAAATTCACTCTTCGGAACGATTTCATATGCATAAAGTTCAGAGGTCGTGCATTATAGTACATTATGTCATGAGGGCGATAAGCGGCGGTTTGTGAGGAGTGTGGAGTTGCAGCAAGAGGCGTGGCAAGCAGGAGACGAGGATCGCCGAAGGCGATCCGAGTCGGACGCTTGCCATGCCGAGTGTTGCAAACTCCACACGACTCACAAACCAACGCTATCGCCCGAATGGCATATACTATTTTTCGTCACGAAGGCCCGACGCGGGTGTGGGCGCGGGAGGGGGTCCAGGGGGACGAAGTCCCCCTGGTGGGGGGGGTTGGGGGGGGGCGAAGCCCCCCCCCACTGAAGAAAAAAATAAAAGCAATAGAAAAAAATAAATCGAAATAAAATCAATATCAGTTGATGCGAAAATAAATAACTAGTAAAGTCCGCCAAAATATCCAAAAACAGTAGGTTGATGACGGTAATTTTGGACCTGTGAAAAGAAAATTGCATAAAAAATAGAAAATAAGAACAGATATCAAAGATAAAAGAAGATACTCAGCTGTTCAATTTTTCTTCTTTTATTAAGAACAGAAGTCGACGTTATAAATACTGATATTTTAGAAATTGTTGTTTTTTGAACAAAAATATCAACTTTAAATTGAACAAAAACTCGGAGAGTGACTTTTTTCTAATGATAAATCTTCTCAATGACACACAACAACATGGCTACCACTAGTGGGTTAAGTTGTAGAGAAGGCCGCTAGAGGCGCTGTACAGCTCATCCGACTATACGTTTACCCGAACGCAGAGCGCATGCCCAAGTGGGGGGAACGTCAGGGCACATGGTGACGCCCACTTTATCGCTCCTAGGATGGGTAAGTGAGATTTACCCTCCTTGGAGCACCGAGCGTCTCATTTACCCTCCTTGGAGCACCGATTATTCAAGTGCCGCGGTAAACTCTCTTTACCCCCTCTCGACAGAGCCCGAGTAAGCGCCGTTTATCGGGCCGAGTGACGAAAAGTGAATTATTGTGTGTAAAGCTTTGCTTTATTCACTCGAAATTCAATTTTCCTCACTTGTGCGTAAAATGAAATTTCACGGTGGCCCGTCTTATTTTCCTCGACATTTTTTCCCCGATTTTTCTTCCCCGACAGCCGTTTCTCCCCAAATTTTCCTCGCATCAATTTTTCCTACGCTACTTTTCCACGTCACTTTTTCCCCAACTTTTTCCCTTTCTAATTTTCTGATTCAATTTGTATATTTTTACATACATTTGGTCAAAACAGTTGTTGATTGGAATGATAAGTGGGGATTATCCTTCTTTTGTAAGCCTCGATCAAATTACGATAACCCGGTCGTTTATTGATTTTCGAGTGTGTATTGATAACCATTCATTTTTGCAATTGACGTCTTGTTTCATCGATGAAGAAAGAAATTAATGAAATTCGTAATTGAAATTGTTTGTTCATCTATTTTGACTCATTAAATTGCATGTAATATTCTGTGGACTGTTCTTGTAATGTTTAATTTTTATAAACATGATTATGACTTGTATTAATTTTTTTTTCATTCTCTTTACTGTTCGTAGGGATTATTACTTGCTCAGGTATCGATGGGAAAAAGAGGAGACAGTTTGTTTTAGGAAAATCTGTCGGGGAAGAAAGGGACAAGGAAGAAATGTCTGGGAAAAAATGTCGGGGAAAAAATATCGGGGAAGAAAAGTCGTGGAACCAAATTTTACGCACGCTCTGCGTGCGCCAACTCGCATTTTCCATACATAGCGATGAACAGTAGGGTTCGATACCCATGAAGCAAGTGTTTTTTGACCCTCGGAAGGGTAACACTCGCCTTCAGCGGGCGCTACACATATAGAGCTGCGAGCCACCCTCGATGTTTAGATACCGACCACTCGCGTTCTATTATTGCTATCGCTTTCATCTTCAAACTCGGTGAAAAGGACATCCCAACGAATTTTTTAAGCCGTCATCCAATGAATTCAAAACCTTTTTTTTTACTTATCGTGTTACAACTGAATTTTGAAAAAATTCGAAAATAAAAAAAAACGAATCAATGAATTAAATTTCAATTAATGGCGACGGATGGGGCCTAGTAATACCCTCATTTAAGAAAACAAAAGTGATTAAATTCCATCGATTCATTAGCGAGAAATTGACGAAAAACTTTGTCAGATATATACATATGGACGACCGCGTTCTAAAAAATGAATTTTCTGTACTGCTTCTTACGATTTCTCGTCTGGGAATTGGTATTATATACTTCCCAAACTCGAAAACTTGAAAATCACTACAGAAAAATATTGTTCCTGGGCTGTTGCGATGGGGTTTTTTTACTCGTGTGGCGTTGGCCTCCGAGCCGTAGGCGAGGACTGGCCAACCACACGAGTAAAAAAACCCCATCGCAACAGGCCGGAAATAGTATATTTCAGCACATGTGGGGCAATATCGTCTTTAACGTGTGTGGGGTTTACAGCATGAGCCGAAGGCGAGTGATGTAACCACACACGTTAAGGACGAAATTTCCCAACAAGTACTGAACAAAATTTTATGTCACGAAGCCTGAAACCGGCTGAATTAGACACGAGACGCGAAGCGTCGAGTGTGTAATCCAGCCGGTTTCAGACATGAGTGGCGTAAATACTATTTCGAACTTCTTGAATCATCCAAAACTTAAATTTGAGCGATTACAATGCTTTAGCAAAAATGAAATGCAATGCATTGGCTGCATTGAACTTTGAAATAAACTCTCTAAGAACTGTGGTTTTCCCATCATTTCCTCATTTTTGACACCAATTTCGATGTTTCCCGACAATTGGTTGCCGAGATCTTCGAACATGCAAAATTTATTTATATAAATTACATTATTCAACAAATCGAAATTTAACTTCTGCCACTCGGTAGAAGGATTATTAAAGTTTTTTCAGTAAAAATTTCAACATTTTTTGGGGAAATTTTGTCGATAAACGAGATGATTCAATATGATTGAATAGGTTCGATGGAAAATTATCATCTACAACTTTTGTTCATAGAAAAAAATATTATAAATGCATTGAAAAAAAATAGTTCACTACAGAGACAATTCCACTGACTCTCCAAATATCTTTTCCAAATGTCAATATGTCTCTCAGAATTTGAGAAAATGATTTTTTACTATTGACTGAATGGGTCGATGTCGATACCATGCATTGACCCCGGCCGATAGGACAAACTGATAGGTCGATGCATGGTATCGACGTCGTACGTGAGGGGTTAATATAGAGCTGCGGGACACCCTCGATTTTCAGACATGTACCGACCACCCGCATTCTAATACGTAATTCTTGTTTTAAACAATAAAATACAATCATTGAACGTCAAGTAAACAATTTTTAATCAATTTTAGCCATTGGAATTATTTATTATTAACAATTAAATTGTTCCAATCGCCCTAGCACCCAAACTATGAAGTATCGACGAAAATTTTCAAATCACGAATCATCTCGAATTTAATAACGAATAATTTTTGTCTATTATCAATTTTACGTATCTCTCATAGATTCCGAGATATGAGCAATAACTAGTTACGCGACTCGACATAGTGCTCTCTGCTTGCGGCGTGCGGTGGGCTTGAGAGCGCTGTGTTAAGTCACGCAACTCTTTCCTTGTTCCTATTTCGAAATCTAAGGGAGATATGTGAAAGTGACAGAAGACAAAAATTATTCCCCATCAAATTCTAAATGATTTGTGATGCGAAGATTTTCGTATATCTGTTATAGTTTGGATGCTAGGGCGATTTGAACAATTAAATTGTTGGTAATAAATAGTCGCAATGCCTAAAATTGATTGGAAATTGTTTACTTGACGTTCTGGGATCATAGTTCATTGTTCAAAAAAAGAATTACGCATTAGAACGCGATTGGTCGGTCGGTCAAGCCTTTTTTGGGGGTGTCCCTCAGCTCTATACGTTTCAAACAAGATATTCAAAAGAGATATTCCTCGAAAACTCAGCTAAGAGCTAAGTCGACTTAAATGGTTTTACCACTTTGCTACTGAATTTTTGTCTGTTATCAATTTTACGTATTAATTGGATGGTAACTCTTGATTGAAATATTCATCATGTTTTGTCCAATCAATCTCAGGCCGAAGAATGGGCCGAAGTACCGGAGCAGGAGCGAACAGGAGTAGCAGTGGTTACGTAAGCTGCAGCGAATGCAGTTACGACTCTGAATCTTGCACCTGTATATCAGCGGACAAGTGTTACTGTTCATTACCCAGAAGATCACCGCCACAGGGTTCAAGCAACAATGCAATTGTCTGTGGTTGCGACACTGACAGCTGCTCAGAGAGCAACAAGTGTTACTGCGCTCGACATACGATTCAACCCAGTATTATGGAGCAATTAAGACAACGTGGGATTGTTCCATCAGAGGGTACATTGTCTAGAGGTAGAAGTCCCGAGAGAAACAAAGTATCAAGATCCTCCAAGGGTCAGACATCGTCGAGGAGCCTCGAGTACACGAACGTAAGAGGAAATGCATTTCTTAATCTCATCTGCGAGTGCTAAATTATCAAGGCTTGATTCTGTAATGAATGCGTCACGTATGAAAAAATTTAATAGAAAACCTTCGGGAATTCTATTGAACTTCTCTAGAAATTCTATAGGGATTATATTGAAATTCTAGGGAATTATCGGTAAAATTCTATGTGTTTTTTGGGCAGTTTCTATTGGATATTTGATAGGAAAAAGTCAATAGATTTCGATTTTTCTGTTTGAATTTTTCTCTTGAGATTTTTTCTATTAAAATTATTGGGCGCGCGAAATAGCGACTTTTTTCTATTTCTAATATTTTTTTTCGAATTCCCATAATAGCGCGTGTTAAAATGCAATTTTAAACAAAAATCTTGTGTTTCGCCCATTCTCCTAGGCCATCTGGAATTTTGCCTAGGGGTTTTGAAAAAATCAAAGAATGTATTAAAAAAATAAATTTTATTACTTTTTTTCGACCCTCCCTGATCACGCCATGAGTACCTTAAGGATATTCAACTATCTTTTATAGTTTGGTACAGATCACACTATAGATTCAACCATTTTTAATCATCAAATTCGTCAATTCAATGACGAGAGAAAAATTCGAAAAAAATCATGAATATTCAGTGTCATTCACATTACACTTTGCACAAAATTATTATTTTTTTAAACATTCGTTGTTTATGAATAAATGATTGATATTGTTTAAACTCCCGGAAACCTTATTTTTTTGGGCACGAAACCGATTTCTAGTAAAATTCTGAATATAAATAAACTTGTTACGATTCCGAACAAATAATTTTTATGCTGGAATATTGATTGCTTACAAATCATTCATAGAAAATGTCCGGCATTTCCAAAAATTGCAATTTTGTAGTTATTTCATCAATTACACAAATTCCTCCAAAAGTGAACTTTGTCATGTTTTTTCAGATTTTTAATGTTTTCTAACGGATCAATATCGAGATTCAAATTCAGACTTGCAAAGTATGAATAATAAAATCATTATAAAATTTCCGGAAATTTAAGGTCTGATGGGGCTCAAATGAAAGCACTGATGTTCGACTACAAAAGTAGAAAAGCATTTCCCTGGAGAAAAAAAAGCAAAAGAATTTGGTACAGATGACACGATAGATTCAACCATTTTCAATCATCAAATTTGTCAATTGAATTGCGTGAGAAAACTTCGAAAAAGATTATGAATATTCAACGTCATTCAAGTTACATTTTGCACAGAATTATCATTTGTTTAAACATTCGCAGGTTATAAAAAGATAATTGAAATTCTTCAAACTTTCGGAAACCATATTTTTTGAGCACAACGTCCATTTCTGGTAAAATTCTGAATATGAATAAATTTGGTACGATTCCGAACAAATTATTTTTATGACGGATATTGATTGTTTATGAATTATTTATAGAAAATGCCCGTGATTTTCAAAAATTGCAATTTTTCAATTATTTCATCAATCGTCCTCCAAAAGGAAACTTTCTAATTTTTTTTCAGATTTTTAAAATGTTTTCTAACGGATCAATATATCGAGATTCGAATTCAGACCTGCAAAGTTTACATATAATAAAATCATTGTAAAATGTCTGGAAACTTAGGGTCAAATGGGGCTCAATTAAAAGCTCTGATGTTCGACTACAAAAGCAGAAAAGCATTTCCCTGGAGAAGAAATGCCAAAGTACTTGAATATCCTGAAGGATAAGGGAGAGTGGGGTAAAATGGCTCCTTTTTACTTTTTTTGTGATACTCATAACTCAGAAAAAAATCATCAATCGAGATCAGTCTGGGCTCATTCTACGGGGGAAGAAGTGTAGTTTCCATGGAAAAAAAATTATTCCATTTTATTTAAAATTGAATGAGCTGTTACCATTTTTGAAAAAATCAAAAGGGGCCATTTTACCCCACTCTCCCCTATCTAAGTATCAGTTTCACCCCTATCAAGTACAGAACATACTATGAATTCAACCATTTTCAGTCATCAAATTCGTCAATTAAATTGCATGAGAAAACTTCGAAAAAAATCATGAATATTCAGGATATAAAATTCAGCATCATTCAAGTTACATTTTGCACAGAATTGTTATTTGTTTAAACATTCGGTGTTTATAAATAAATAATCGAAATTTTTTTTAATTTCGCAAAACTTATTTTTGTGGGCACGAAATCGATTTCTGATAAAATTCTGAATATGAATAAGTTTGTTATGATTCCGAACAAATGATTTTTATGGTGGAATAAAAATAAATGGTATTAATTATTTGGTTTGATTATTTACAAATGATTTCTAGAAAATACCCGTGATTTTCAAAAATTACAATTTTTCAATTATTTCATCAATCTTCCTCCAGAAGGAAACTTTTTAATTTTTTTTCAGATTTTTAAAACATTTTCTAACTTATCAATATCGAGTTTCAAATTCAGACCTGCAAAGTTTAAATATTGAAATCATTGTAAAACGTCCGCAAACTTAGGGTCAAATGGGGCTCAGTTAAAGGCTCTGATGTCCAACTACAAAAGTAGAAAAGCATTTCCCTGGAGAAAAAAAAACAAAGTACTTGGATATTCTTAAGCTCCACTGCTTCACTGCTGTCCAAACTCCATTATTGAATCACAATGACGGTCAAAATTTGAAGTGGATTAAAGTGAAAGGATGGAGAGATTAGAATCAATGATGGGGATTACTGATCAACTTCAGTAATGGAGTGATAAGACGAGATGAGGTGATTGAACTTGTCTATAAGTATTTGATGAATATCTTGTAGACTAGCTTGAAGAGCCTAGCACGTTTCCGTAGGGACCTTGTAAGGATGTGAGAAAAGTACACTGACAAAAAAAATTATTTTTGCCAAATATCCATTTACTTGAGAGAAGTATTTATTTTTTCAATACCGTATTTCTTCAGTTGAGTCATTCTCAGGCAATCCTCATTACGTTTCAATAATGTCAATTATATTGCTCTAGAAGATGATCATGTTAGTTATGACCTTGAGTGAACTTCTTCAATAATTATCAACATTAAGAAATTGATCGAAATTCTTCCCTGTAGAAAATGAAAATTTTTGGAAAAATGAATAATCATTAGAAGAGTCCATCCAAGATCATGTGCAACATAGTCATTCTCTAGAGCAAAATGACTATTGTAATTGAAACTTAGTCAGGCTCGCCTGGGAATGACTCGATTGGAGAAATACGATTTTGAAGAAATAAATACTTCTCTGAAGTAAATGAATATTTGGCAAAAATAATTTTTTTTCTCAGTGTAGGCGCTACAAAAAAAATGTTACGATAAAATTTCCGTGGGGTCTGTTGGATTCCAAGATATTCTCTGGAAATATATTCATTTTCCAGGGTTCAATTTCTCTTCCTGGGCCGCACAATTCGCAAACATCTGCTTACCGATATAAAAAAACATTGCTGAGTGAACATATTTGTTCAGATGTCTTGTGCAAACATGATCGATTGAGCTGATAGTATTGATTTCGAAATTATCTTGCTCGCAAAATATTGCTAGGCACATATGGAAGGCACATGTTTTATATTGTTAGAAATTTTTGGATTTTTCATGGAAGAGATTATAGTAAATCTCATGAGAGTGACATTAAATTCAATTTAGAGAAAAAATGGTTATGAAATTTCTAGTTTTAAATAGAATTCACGGGAATTCATGAGTTTTCGGTGGGAATGAGATGGAAATTTCAAAGTTGATTGAATTTTCAGTGGAACATGAATATTCAGAAACAAAATTACATGAAGTTTCCATTTTTCCCTGAATTTTTTTGATTTTTCTCAATTTTCATAGGATAACTGAACTGAAAAATCAAGTATTTCATTGATTTCCAAATCATTTGTACAGAAAATTGATGGAATATTTGATTTTTCGATAAAAATACATATAACGATGAAAACTTTGAAAAATTGGGTAAATTTCAGAAAAGTTTATTATTTCCCTCATGAAACTGCATACATTTTAAACGGGGAATCAATATATAATCTATAGTGGTAGACATTCAGTGTCCATCAGCGTTTGGCATTCCCCATAGGGTTCACGATGGGGACGTACCCAGTTTGAACCCCAAAAAAACCCTACATTTGATGCAAAATTTCGTATTTATTATTCTTAGTTGAGTTTGCTTTTTCGCCAGTTGAAAACAATTTCAATCATTCATTCACGAGAAAGGCATTTCAAAGGATGAACTTTTGCTTCCGAATGGAAGCATTGCAATCCTTCGATTTTCACATTCTCTAATTTTTATTGGAAATGATGGAGAATGGTCTGAAACGTAAAAATGCGAAGCTTGGCGACCATATCTGTATGTGACCACGTCCACCGCCACCTTCCCGGTGGTCAATTTTTAGAAAATTGAGTAATGAAGTGGCTAAAGTAATTCCAAAAAATCTGAAATTGTGTGAGATTATAGGTCTTAATGAGGACTAGCTCTGTGCAAATTTTCAGCCCGATCGATATAATAGTTGCTGAGAAAAAGTGATTCATTTTTTAATCGTTTTCCGCAAATATCTTCCAAACTAGTGGACCGATTTCGATTTTTTTGTTTTCAAAATATTTGCTTCGATGCCTTTCATCTAAATCAATCAAACCATACATACCCGTTCATACAAAGTTTTCGAGATACTCCCGTTTTTCGTTTTTTCATTAAAAAAAAACTTTGTTTTTTTTAATAAAAAAAATTTTATTTTTTATTTTTCCACAAGCTAAAACACTTTAGCTTGTGGAAAAATCAAGATATCAACTTGAAATTTGGGCAGAAAATATGTATACCCACTCATATGAAGTATTCGAAACATTGGAATTTTTATAGCACCCATGGAGGTGGCAGTAACCGTCCCAGCATCCATGTATTGATGTCGAAAAAAATCAGAGACATGCTCAATTGCTCACTGTCACACGGCGCGCTGTTATATGTTCGCTGCCCCCTGCTTGTTTCAATTTCTTATCACGCAATTCAATTGACAAGTTCAACGATTGAAAATTCCTGAATTTATATAGTAGAGTTCCAATGATCTTGAATACGTATAGGGGAGGGTGCGGTAAAATGGACACTTTTGACTTTTTTAAAAATATTCATAACTTAAAAACAGATTTATCAGTTGACCTCAGTCTGAGCCCATCACAAAGAGGAATCATTGTTCTGTCAATTGAAAAATAAAATTACTCCATTTCATGAACAATTCAGCACGTCATGAATATTTTTTAAAAAGTCAAGTGTCCATTTCACCCCATCCTCCCCTAACTCATTCTCAGATCTTTATCACGTATCTGTCACATTAATATAGTCCATTTTTTGCCTCTAGATAAGACCATCACCGGGCAGAAGCAGTTCCGATAATTTAGCACTGGATTACGAGCTCTTCAGTCCTGGAAAAAAATCGCAGTGTTCTGCGGGGAGTGAAAAAGTGCTCGTGGTGAGCGCTAGAGACCCTCAGGGACGACTGGTATACGTAGGGGGGGCTGAGAGGAAGAAGAAATCATCATCCAGTGGAGCTCACAGGGCTGGAGCTCATCATGAGGCTTTATCAATAAAAAAAAGTGCTGAAATCGCTGCTGTGTTTGGGGACTCGGCTGCCAGGGGTTGCAGGAGGGCCGGCAGCTTCTCCAGCATGAGAAGCTCCATCAGTCTAGAAGCTGGGCTTGGATATTTACCTTAATCATTTTATTTATTATTACCATCGTCATTCAGTAGTGAAGAGGTCAGGGAGAAAAGGAGATAATGACTTCACGAAAAATCCATTTGCTGATTACTTCGAGAATATCTCGAGCAGCGGGAGGTTTAAAGAAAATCATCTGGAGATATTTTTTGAGGGAAATTTTAGATGAGATATTCCGCGCCAAATGAGTCGACGGCTGACCCTCACCCTTTTGGAAATTGATGGCGATTTTTTCTACGATTAGGGGGCTAGAAAACTATCCCTCAATTTTGACGTGGATACGTCTATGGTTTCTATATGGGGGGGTCATTTTGGGAAACGATCCTTATGTGCACCGCCATTTATGGGAATTCTAGAAAATTCTAGATATTTCGAGGTAATTCGAGAAGTTTCTTGAAATGTCGCAAAAATTCAAGGAGTTTCTAGAAATGTCGACGAAATTCAGGGAGTTTCTAGAAAATTTGAGGGAATTCAACGCGTTTCTAGAAAATTCGAGATAATTCAAGGAGTTTCCAGCACATTCGAGGGAATGCAAGGGGTTTCTAGGAAATTCGAGAAAGAAGGAAAGAACATGGACGTATCCATGTACAATTACAGCTGTATCGAAAATTCAGCCGCCTGCAGTTTTTTTTAGATTTTTTCGACAGCCCATTTCGCAGATATGATTTTCTCTTTATTTTTTCGTTTTTTTCAATAACTCGGGTTCTATTCAGCCGATTGTTATTTATAACGGCTCAAAATTTTCTATTTCTTACCATCTATAAGTCGATTTTCGATAATTTTTTTTTCAATCTCTAGATACTCATAATACCGAATTTTCAAAAAAAAAATTAGCAAAACTTGGATTTTCAAAATTATTTCACCTTAGATTTTCGTCATCTTTTTTTCGGTAACTTTTATAATCAAAACGAGTGTTTTGAGCCGTCATACAACTTGGGTTTCGTAGTCGATCTATTTAATTTTCAATTTTTTCTTCTCGACATTTCGCAAATTTGGTCAAAACACTCCAAACCGACTTCCATTATATATCAAAAAAATATGTAACATATAAGTATACATTTAAATTCACTTCATACTGTTTATAATCAAAGTCAATCAACACTATTTTGAAGTATTTTGAGCGAATTCGTGGAATTTTTATAAGAAAAAATTGAAAATAAAATACATTTAGGGCGTAAAGCCAAGTTTTATAACGGTTTAAAATACTTGTTTTCATTACAAGAGTTACAGAAAAAAATACGAGAAAAATAAAACGTGACATAATTTTGAAAAATCAAAATTTTTTTTTTTGAAAATTCGGTATTATGAGCACCTAAGGTTTGACAAAAAAAATTACTCAAAATATTCTGATAGATGGTAGAAAATCGAAAATTTTGACGTATCATAAATCAAAATCGGGTGAATAGAACTGGAGTTATTGAAAAAAAAAACAAAAAACAAAGAAAAAATCATATCTCCAAAATGGGATATTAGAAAGATCCGCAAAAAATTGAGAGATAGTTTTTCAAGAGGGTAAGGGTTAGCCGTTAACTCATTTGACACGGAATACCTCATAATGAAAGAGACTATCGTACATGAAAGTGGTTGAGGGAGAAAAAGAACACATACGCAGCAACGACAGCTATGTGTACACCAATTTTGAGACCAATCGTTTAAAAATTTAGGCACTTGAACATTTTTTAATGTTCTGGCCGTTTTCGATTCCTTGCGGACCTTCAAACTCCACGGAATATGTTTTTTCACTTTTTTTGAGGCTCCTAATGAGTGCCAACAATTGTAAGATCCGTGGTTACGAAATCCAAGGACTTTCAAATTTCACCGTAATCTTCCCTCAAGACGCTTTTCGATAAATCTACTGGTCTCAAAAATATTTGAAAAACAATCTGAATGGAATCTCTCAATATTGATTTTACCACTTTGCTGCTTTGTTTTGTTTCTCATTGAATTCCGTGATATCTTCAGGAAAATTCAATTGACAAGTACCTGCAGACGTAATGTTAAACGTAATGTTAACTCCAGAGGCATTCGCGAGTATTTTGAGTGATTATGAAATTATAATTCTATTATTTATGGATTTTTTAGGGCTACGATAAACCTGACATCTCAAAGAGATTATTTTCTAGTTAAGGGACAGTGCAATATTGACTATGTAAAACTATTATTTGTTGGCCTTTGAGTATATTATATTTGCAATTATAAAATATAGAATATAAAATGTCGAGTGAGTTATATGTATAATTTTTTTAAATTTATCCTCATTAAAAAAAATCAATCCGCTTTGAGGAAATCTTCATCCATTTTTTTGAATTTCTCAGTGTAATCTTCAGGTACATCTACGAGTTTCAAATTCTCCAGTCCTATTTCGTCTTCAGTTCTGTGAAATAAAAAGAATGAATTTATTAATAAATCATTTAATATTTATACAAAAACTTTGTTCGATTGAATCTTCAATAATTTTGATTCATTTTAAGAAAATTTCCCCTAAAAATTGGAGAAAAAAGTTCTAATTCTCAATAATTCATACTTTTAAGGAAATATTGGTTCTAGAATGAAAACTTTCGCACACACTTTCGTTCTTGTATTGGTGTTTTCTTCTGTTCTAAAATTAATCTACTCATGTTTATACATGTTTTGTTATTCCAACTATATTATCTGATATCTTGGCTCAATTAATGTTGCATTAATGTTTATTATTCCAGAATTTTATGCCTTCCAAATGTTCTCACTTTAAGGATATTTAAGCAAGTTCAGTTAAGTAAAAAAAGTGACTCCCGAAAAATAGCCTTTTCCGTATATTTCAGTATGGTGACACGCGTGAAAAAATTCAATAGAAAACCTTGCGAATTGGCTGGAAAATTCTATTGGAATTCTATGGGAATTCTCTGGGGTTTCTACAGTATTTCTATTGGAATTCTATCGAAAAATTCTACTGATTTTTTGCGCTGAATCTATTGCATATTTGATAGGAAAAAGTCAATATATTGAATTTCTGTTCGAATTTTTTTCGTGAGATTTTTTGAATTAGAATTATTGGGCACAAATCTTCTAAGTTTTTTCCACCGGATTTTGTTTTGTTTTGCATTACAGAATCCGAGTGGAAGAAACTTAGAAAATTGATGCTCAATCATTTTTATAGAAAAAATCTGAAAAGAAAAATTCTAACAGAAATTCGAAATCTATTGATTTTTCTCATCGAATACCCAATACAATCAGCGCAAAAACCAATTAGAATTTTCTAATAGAATTGCAATAGAATTTTCTAGCGAATTCGCTAGGTTTTCTATTGAATTTTTTCATACGCGCAGTGATGAATTCTGACTGATTGGTATATATCAAGCTCAATTGAATCTTATACAACTAAAAATTATCGATTCCATGAATCTTAACATTGATTTATTCACAGAGCGAAATACCAGGAAAAAGGATATCTTTAAAGGATATGGGGTCATACCCCACCTGAGTTCGAATCCGTGTACTTGGTTTCCGTCATCTCCTCTGAGATACAAAGTTTCAGGCCCGGGTGGACCATCTTTCGTGAACGTGATCTTGATTGCTTTTTCTATTTTGATAATCTGAAATGTTCTCCAGTTGCTATTAAGTTTTACATAGCCCTGGAGTCTCCAAAAATTATGTTTGTATAATCAAGAAAACGTTGAAAAAAAATCTGGACATTTTCCAAGAGCGTTTTTGAATAATATTGGGAAATAAACCCAATAGGGAGGAAATTGCAAATTAATAATTTGATGTATCTAATGGCTGTTAGGTGGTCATTTGTCACAGTAGTCAATGGCTATCAGATCGTTAGTTACCATGATAAATTATCCATTCACTATTTCCTCTCTATCGGACTTCTTTCTTAACTAGATCTGTGCGCGCGCTTTCGCGCGCGCTCATCTTTTTGTTGTGAAAATGAAGAAATCGCATTTATTAAACTTCATATACTCATAGATGTTTTATAAATATTGATAATGACTCAAAGAGAATTAAGAGAATGAAGAGAATGAAGAGAATGAAGAGTGAAGCATCAATGAATAATTTTTAATCTTCAATTAATTCTTTTTTTTTTACTTTTTAAAATAATCTGATTAAAATCTGTAATTGTTGAAAAATCAGGGGAGGGTTATGAATTGATTTCCTAGAGAACTGAAAAAATTTCTTGAATTCTTCGGAAAATTTCACAGTTTTCCAGATAACCGTAGATCACAGATTTTTCTCGAATTATTTGGGAAACCGAAGAATTTTCGTGAATTTTGTAGAGTTTAGAATTTATCTATGAAAATCTGCGAAGCAAGAATTGATCATTTTGGCGTGTGATAAATATGAAAAAATTAAAATTTGAGAAGTGAAGAATAATTTGTGAGTTAAAAAAATTTAGAAATACTATGTTTTTTTTCTCATGATCAACAATTAGACAATTTAGATATGTTTTGATATCAAGATCAACTTCACACATGAAAAAATGACAAATATGACGCAGAAAAAATGGTTGGCATTTGAAGAATTTGATAATACCGGGGATTTTTTCAACGACTTCACGTGATTCATTGACCAATCAGAATTGAGGATTAGCGGTCAGGCCGTTTCGAGATATTTCGATATAAAAAAACTTCACGTTTCTTTCATCGTTAGTACTGTCGGATCTTTATTAAAAACGCTTTTTGAAAATGTTCAGTTTTTTTCTACTTTTTTTTATTGTTCAACCCAGAAAACAATTTTTGCCAGTGCCATCTAAAATTTGACAGGTCACCGGCAATTTGTCGACAAATTGTCGACATACTGTTTGCTGGGAATCATAATTTTTAGGGACTCCTGGGTGATGTAAAATCCAATGGAAATTGTGATATATTTTACATTATGAAGATGGAAAAACAATCGAGATAACGTTCGAAAGATAATCCACCCGGGCCTTCAGTCAATATTCTTGAGATATTTGAATTTGAAAATGTTTTCTGAGTTTCCTTCAGGAACCATCGATACGTCACGAGGGTCAAACGTCGTAAGGTTCAAACATTACGTGCAAGGGTCAATTCTCGCGAACATCATATCTCGCAAGGGTCATGTCTAGCATGAAGAACTCTGTCATTTACCCTATGTAATCCATTTTATGAATCTAATAGGGAAATTACTTCAAGAATGGTTCAACAGTTTGAATATTGTAGGAAATTCATAATAATCAAACCGTTGGACCATTGGTTTGACTTCCTGTAGTATCCAAACCGCTTGACCACTGTTTTTCTCAATCAGAAGGGTCAGAAGAGTTAGAGAAGATTCACAAGCGTCATATGGTTGCAATCTTCAGATTGAACTACTCGAAAAAATGTACAGTGCGGTCAAGAGCGTCGTATGGGTAAGATTCTGGGAGCCAAAGAGTTTAAAAGTTCCCTATGGATACGATAGTAAGAATCAAATGACATGTTCATAAGAAGATCATGAGGGTCGGACGGGATCATATGAATGAGCTAGAATAAACAATCTGCGTTTCACATTCATCGGTGATTTCTAATTCTTTCTGCAATCTCCCAATTTCTTTGTGATATCTACTGATTTCCAGAAGTCATTCGATATCACTATCGGAAATGCAAATCACTTGATTTCCACACTGAGAGAAAAACGAAAAAACGAATACGTTTTCAAGCAAATCTTGTTTGGGCCAACGAAATCATCAACTGTACCACAAAAAGAATTGTTTAGTTCGAATTTAAAATTCTCAAATATGAATAATTGTTGATTTCAACAACAACGAAATATTTGGCTCAAGAGGCGAATCAATTCATACAAGACGATGCCTTTTCAGGATAAAAAACTTACGATATTTCCATAGCTTAAGACTGCTGTCATATCATTATTATTATTTCATTTAAGAATTCATTTTTGACCCCCCATATTGAAACGATAGACGTATCCACGTCAACAAAAATTCTCAATCTTGACGCATACTTCGCATGTTCATGATGATTTTTAACAAACGATTTTTTTGGCACAAGTAAGATTTGTTTGAGAACTCTGCTGTTTTTCTCTCAGTGCAGGGTGATTTCTTGTGATTTCATCCAAGGTTTCCAATCGAGTGGTCCAATGATTTCCTAAGTGACCAGCTCGGATATTTTAGGACTTATAATAAAATTTTCATCACCTTTGCATCGTACGACTACATACCAGAACGATTCAATGATCAATAATTTTAATTAATTATTGATTTGGATCGTACCAGAATTTTGTCATGAATGACAATTATTTATTATCTTTACATTTTGAAATCTGAAAAAAAATCTCTTGTAACTTTAATGGCATTTTTAACTCACCTGATTAAAATGTCAATGACATTTTCACAGGCCAGAAGAGCAGCCTTATCCTTCTCCCACTTATGATATTCCCTCAGTATCACATAAGCATTCTTGCCTCTTATAATTTCACGAGCCTCCCGGGTCGCACATAACTGACACAGAGCCTCTAAAATCATAATTCTAACAAAACAAAACCAGAGAAAATTAATCAAGTCCAGGTATAAACGAATTTCCACTCATTACGAATGAAAAAGGAAATGGATTAATACCTGATATCAGGATCGCTCTCCCGTGTCTTGGTTTCCGCCAGAAACTGGAGATCCAGGGGTAATTTCTCATTGTCTTCGTCATCGAACTCCTCAGGACCAGCCAGAGGCAACAATAAATGTGGTAATAGATCGATATCTTCGCTCAGAAGCCACACATGATTCTCATCATCGAAGCAACAATTTTTTATGGTCCCCACAACTCCCCCCCGCCTCACAATGCTGTCCTTGTATTCTGTGAAAGGCAGGAGCTTCTGAATGATGGGATTATCCTTATCCATCAATCGTCTGCAATTAAAGTCATAAAATGAATCATTAAATTCAGTTATGCAACGATAAAGGTATATACGAAATCTTGTTTAAGGGGAGACTACTATGAATTTGAAAAGTCGCGGGCTATTGGAATGAGATTTCTCATCATTGAAAATCGATTAATATGTCTAACAGCGAATAATTAGTGCAAACAAAATTGTTCATTGTTCGTTACCCTGCAGACGCAGACGTGCGGGGTAAATGAACAATGAATAATTTTTTTTTCCAGGGCCTTCAATTTTTGAGCTACAGAGATTTGTTTTTCAAAATGTTTTGAAAAAATGCGTACAATGACAATTACAAATTTGTTTTTTGAAATTCAACTCCCACACAGCTAATTTCGTTATTTTTTCAATAAAGAAAATGCACCATTCATGTAAAATAGCCCGAAACATGTTTCTGAAAGAATCAAGAATATATTTGTAATATTTTAACCATAATTTTTCTGCCTATTTTACATGAATGGCGCAAATTTTTATATTAAACAGAACGAAATTGGCTGTGTAGGAGTCGAATTTAAGAAGACTAATTCGAAATTGTTTTTGTACACATTTTTTCAAAATGTTGAAAAAAAACCTTTGTAGCTCAAAAATTGGAGGGCTATTGTTAACATTTTAAACGTTTGCGGGGCAAACGAAAAGTAAACAATTCATTTGTTGTACTAATTATTCGTTTTTAGACATGCATAATCTCACTCCAATGCTGCTCGTTTGGGCTGCGTGCGCAGAAATTTCATTTTTCAGTACTTTTTTCGCTATTATTAATAAACAATGCTCCTAAGCGACAATCTTTTTCACTCAAAAAATCATTGATCACATGTTCTAAATGTGTCTAAAGTTTCATGACTTTGGCTGCATTTTTTCCTTGGGTTTTGCAGTTTTATTGTGATTTCCATAAGATCACGGGTTAAATGACCACTTTTTCAAAAATTCATAATAAATTAACCATGCTCCCCAGCAGTCTGAAACTTTGCACACGCCTTTTCCATCATTTAAAGAATAAGTAAAAAAAAGAAAAAAAATGGCTGCTTTTTTTCCAACCCTCGTGGCTCGCCCGATTATCCTTAAGGGGAGACCGCGGTGTAATTTGAAAGTCTCGACTCGGCCTTAAGAGCCATTGGATGACTTTTGATATATGAAGGGATATATAAAGAAGTGAGAAAAATTTCGGACCCGAACCGTTTTGCCTCGTATATCCACCAAAAACGTAATTTTTCACGTTTTCAGCTTAAAAATGCTCCTTGGACCACAGTTTTCATCCGATTTCAACTTTTTTTTTTTAAATGTTCGCTATACTCCAACGAACAAACCCAAGTATCCGTTTTGCTTTATATTTATTAGATCATAGATGGCTCTTTCGATTATGCAATCATAATGTTTAGAGACTCCAGGGCTATGAAAAACGGAATGGCAATTGGAGAACCTTTTAGATTAGCAAATTAACAAAACAACCAAGCTCACGTTCGAAACATCATTTTGGAAATGAGTGTTTTAAAAAAATCAAGAGATTTTTCCTGCTGCCAAATTTTGAAATTACAAAGAAGAACATGTAGTGTTTTCTGTTTAGACCACTAATTTTCATAATAATTCAAGAACGCAAACTGATTCCATGTTTATGAGGAGGAACTAACAGTAAATGAACAGCTTCGCTTTATATCAATCACGCATTGAATCCCACATGGAAAGGGTTTTCGTTTCGCTTCGGAAAATTCAATTTTTCCCGTTGGAGATGAACTTAAATTGAACTCAAGTGATAATTCTGTTCCTGAATTGAAAATTTTTTCAACAAAGATAACAGGTTCAATCTTACCCTATCTCCCGTGCACTGAGAAAAAAAATTTATTGAGATAATTTTATTTGAAGCAGCCATTATCTACTTGATAATTTTCAATGCAGTACGATTTTATATAGGCTAAACAGGCCAATTGCTGGATGATTAAGGGAAATTCGAAAATGAAAGAATCACCTCAATGGGGATATGATGGCTTCTATACCTTCAAGAATGTTTTAATTAGTAGAAAAAAATTATTTCAAGTCAAAATAACAAAACAAAGAATAATTAAATTAAGAAATAGTTGAATGCAGCCGAAACCCTTAATTTCTGGGAGAGTGAGCCATATTTTTTATTTATTTATTAAATGTCGATCAATAGAAAAAACAATTGATCACATGATTATACACGAGTAATATTATTGGAATGTGAAATAATCAGTACAATTTTCATTTTATTTATGGAATATTCAATGCAAGTTGAAATCGTCCAGAAATTGACCTGGTTACCCTATCCATAGTGTCTTTTCGAGATATATTTACCTGGTAAAAAAAATTCCTCTAGAATTTGAGTCAATGGTATTTGTTCCAACAATAGAAATATTCGGTTTTTTTCTGCATAAAACTGTGCAAATACAGGAACCTTCAAGCTCACCAGGGTTGGGCGTGTAAATTACTTTGGTAAATTACACCATTTTTTACCGACGTAATTTACGTAAATTACCTCGCCGAGTTTTTTACATTTTTTACATTCCTTCAAAAAGCTTGCAATTTTCGATTATTAGAATGTTTTATTTTATTCTGCGTGACAAAGACGCAGTATTGGACACAAAAAATAGTATATTGTGGCCCGAGGACAGATAAACTGCGAATTTTAATTTCACTTTGTTCGGTTAGAACGCAATTCTCGGTACTTGAGGCATAAAATATCATTTTATGTCCCTAGGACTGTAAAACCGCGATTCTAACATCGATTTCCTCCATTGAATCGTGGTTTTTGGGCCCAGAGACATAAAATATTGTATGCCACACGGCGATAAAACCATTTCCTGACTCGTATGATTAAAATCCACGATTCACGACATTTTCAAAAACACAAAAACATGACCTTGTACCTCGTAAAGAGTAAATTTCACGAGGGTCAAACGTTGTAAAAGACCAATGTCACAAGTCATCTCCGTTGTGAGAAAATCAATCTCATTATCAATTGAACTTTATTGGATTTTCCGCTTTATTATCTATAGCCCGGGAAAAGCCCAGTTGGACCTGAAAAACCATTTTGTTCTGAAGAGTTCAAAAAACCTACCCAAGACAATTGAATTAGTTTTGTCATTTAAGAATGTTGAATGAGACAAGTTAATGTCAAGACACGAAATGATGACGCCACGAATTCAATAGTGATCAATAAATAATGAGATTGACCCTTGTAAAATTCATCCCTTACACGGTATGACCCTCGTGATTTATCACCCTTGTGAGGTATAATCTTCGCGAAGCTTCACGGTTTACGATAAAAAGTAACGTCGGCTGGTTTTTTACATTTATTACATTTATTACGTAAATTACGGGTTTTTTACGATGTCATGTAAAAAACTGCGGTCATCGACAGATGCCCAACGCTGCTGATGACTAAATACATCATTATGTGAATTAATATGATTAAGTGTTTCCAAGTAGGTCATAATTAAACTGAGCAATCATAATGTTCCGTATGTCCGATCAGAATTTCATAAAAATTTGCAAATCGCAAATACTGTTTAAGAATAGGTAAGTACTTCGGCTATTTTTCTCCATAAAACCATTTGTTCGGAATCGCAAAATTTCTTCATACTCAGAATTTTACCAGAAATCGATTTCATGCCTAAAAACTGAGATTTCCGAATGTTAAAAAAATTTCAATTATTTATTTATAAACAACTAATGCTTAAAAAATATTAATTCTGTGCAAAATGTAATTTGAATGACGCAGAATATTGATGATTTTTTTTACATTTTTCTCACGCAATTTAATTGACAATGACATGACCCTTATCCTGACCCTTATGACCCTTATTCTGACCCTCGTGATCCTTATTCTGACCCCCATGACCGTGATTCTGAACCACGTAACCCTTATTCTGACCCTTGTGACCCTTCACCTGACCCTCGTACCGTTTATTCTGACCCTCACAACCCTTACTCTGACCCTCATAACCCTCATTCTAATTCTCGTGACCCTTGTTTTGACCCTTGTGACTCTTAATTGTGGAGTCTTAATTTCGAGTATCAATTTTTTATCACCAGAAGTCGATTTGGATTTTTATAATATAGAAAGATTCCTTAAGGGTTTTCACCTATGAAAAAAACGTTGACATTGATCCGAAAGTTTCATAAGACGTTCATCGTTTTTAAAATCATACAGCATCCATCTATTATCATGAACACTCTTATCTAAATTCGAGATGGATATCACGCTTTACCTTCTTCAAACGAAATGCCATAATAGAATTCAATTTTTCTATAAGTAATGATCATTTCGACAAAAAAGTTTCAAGACGTCTTTTATGAGCCACGTGCAAAAAATCTCATGATATTGTTTTTCAACACCAATCATTAGTAAGCTAATTCAAAAATTAATAATCAACATTAATTCCTAAACTGTTGCATGCTTTCACTTCCTCAAAGTATCCTTTAAAAATGATTTTACGATTTCAATAGCCTTCACGAACCTTCTGACTGTCTCAGATTGGCTGAGATTACTTAGAACAGGTCCCAGGTAATGTAGACTCGCTCCTTTTTTATTATAACTCTTCGCAAATGCAAATGCATGGACTATTTTATCCCAACTGTAGTTCGCCTTTTCCATCTGCGCAACAATTCGATCCACGTGGCTGGCAGGTCTCGTTATGTTGGAGAGAATCATGCAACAAGGATCCGCAAGTGAGCTCTCTCTATCCAGAATGAAGCTGCAATTGAGGAGAAATTAAATTGGCAATTTAGGCGAAGCAACAAAATCATCAAGAATAAATTCATCTTCTCGTTGTCAGAGTTCTTTCGACTTGTTTCATTTTTTTTTTGTTTCTACAGAATTTTTTACCTGATGCACACGTGAATGAGGTCATCAGTTGGACTTTCATTAGGTCCCATTTTCGAGGTCTCAGATATGAGTAACAGTGCCTTTGCTCCACTCTCGTCTCCCGAGATATTAACCAGAGCCAGTGTAGCATCTTTGGAAATTGTTATTCGTGATTTATCGAGTTGAGTAAGTAGTATTAGTTGGCGGAGGACGTCGGGACAGCTGAGAATCAAATCTCTCCCTTCAGAAGTTCCCGTCAAAGCTATCAACAATACGAATTAATTCATGATCATCAGTAATTCAGCAGTGACCGTTTCATGAATTATGCTAATGTTTTTGAAATTTCTGATGTTAAAAGAGCTTTTCTGCAGTGGATGAACTTTACGAGGTATTGAGACTTCACATCAAGATTCGAAGTCAATAATTCTCCGCAGAAATTTAATAAACGAACACATCGAGGGAAATAATAATGAGATAATTAAGGATATCCAAGTATCTTTTACAGTTTGGTACAGACCACACGGTAAATTCAACCATTTTCAATCGTCAAATTTGTCAATTAAATTGCGTGAGAAAAATCCTTTAATAAAAAATTCAGTGTAATATTTTTTGAAGTCAATCTATTCGGTGTATTGTGTTATTAGATTCTTTATAAATGATGATAGCATACCTTAAGGATATTACGATAATACTTTACTATATTATATCCTATACTATACTATATTACAATGCATTGTATAATGTATTATATCTAATACAATGTATGTTATTATTGTTATCAGTTCATCATTTTTTTATTATGTGCATTATATTTTATAATACATATAGTACTCTATTATATATTGTATATTGTACATAGTATATATAATATAGCATTATCGTAATATCTTTACTGTATGCTACCATCATTTATAAAAAATCTAATGACATAATACGCCGAATAGATTGACTTCGAAAAATGTTACACTGGATGTATTATATATATAAAAAAAATAGAATACATTCCTGAAACTTTTTTTTCGGAAGACTTGATATTCACTTCAGAAATTTAATATAAGACTATTCACTACAATTGACATACATTAAGCCCTGTGGAGTAGGGCATACGCGCGCGGAGCGCGCGGACTAATCTGGTTTGAAAAAAAATCATGAACATTCAGCGGCATTCAAATTACTTTTGCACAAAATTATTATTTTTTAAAGCATCGGTTGCTGATAAACAAATAATTGAAATTGTTTACACTTTCGGAAACCTTATTTTTTTAGGCATGAAATCGATTTTTGGTAAAATTCTGAATATGACTAAATTTGTTACGATTCCCAGCAAATGATTTATATGTTGGAAAATTAATTATTTTCATCACGCTGTGACGAAAAGTGAACTTTTCGACACGCTCCGCGAAAAGACTTTTCGTTTACTAGTAAACGAAAAGGCACTTTTCGACACGGGCTGTAGCAGCAGTGACAAAATAGTATATTTCGTAACGAAAAGTCTTTTCGTTTACAAGTTTCGACTTTTCGTTTACTAGTAAACGAAAAATGGCACAGTTCGGTACTCGCTGAACGTAACATCACTAACAAAATAGTATATTTCGTAACGAAAAGTCGTTTCGTTTACAAGTTTCGACTTTTCGTTTACTAGTAAACGAAAAATGGCACAGTTCGGTACTCGCTGAACGTAACATCACTAACAAAATAGTATATTTCGTTACGAGTGCGGAAAAGAGTATTTTCGCTTCGCGCAGCCTGCTTGAAACGCGATTACCGCACGAGGTGGCATAATAGTACATTATGTCATCAGGTGATAAAAGTATTATCTGGCGAATGTGACTTTATAATCCGAGCCGAAGGCGAGGATATTAATCACATTCGTCAGATAATACTTTTATCGCCGTGTGACATACAATATTTTTCGTCGCTGGGCCTGAAAACCGCGATCTAACCGAGCAAAGCGAGGTTAGAATCGCGGTTTTCTCGGGCCTAGTGACGAAAAACAGTATAGAGCACTCGGCGATAAATTCCATTTTCAACGAATGTGAGTACAGAGCTCGCCTTCGGCTCGGCCTGTAAACTTCACATCCGTCGAAAACAGAATTTCACACCTCATATTCTAATATACTATTCTCATAAGACTCTGTGTTATTCGCCACTTCAAATTAATTACCATCAATAATGCTCATGTTATTAATAACAATATACTGCCAATTGAACACAGATTCAACCGGGATGTTCTGATTTTCGTTATCTTCAGTTCAGAATTTATTTCATACTTCAATCTCCAAAATTTAAGTTATGTTTACACCACTTTAATCCATCCGACAAAATTATAAAAATAAACACGGAAAATTCTCCATGCGGTATGACGACCCTCGAGAAAACCTGGAATTTAAGGATGTACACGCTTTCGGCCAAAATTCACGTTTTTTTCATTTTTCTGGCAAATTATGGATCGGATTGACGCGAAATAATATACCATTTTTGCGTTTTATCATTATTGACTGACTCACGAAGTTTCATGGTAGTGCAATGATTTTCCTGCGTTTTTTCTAAAGCTTTTCGGAAAGTCACAAAACTTTCGACAAAATACAGGAAAATGATTGCACGATCATAAAATTTCGTGAGTCATTAAGGAATGATAAAACGCAAAAACGGTATATTTTTTCACGTCAATCCGATCAACAATTTACCAGAGAAAATTCAAAAAACGTGAATTTTGGCAAAAAGGGTGTAATACATTCTTAAGGTGTTTGGTACGAAAAAGGTAAATAATGACATGCATCTGGAATTCATATAGAATGTTTATAATCACAGTTGCATTATCTCTGAATTTTATTAGAATTTTTTCAAATTTCCTTTTCAAGTTATTAACGATTGAAGTCGCTTCTTATACATAGGCTCTTATGGAATTTTTTTTTGGACCTTTATTATCAACTCAAATGGTAAGGCAGTTTCCTGCTAAACAGAAAAATCTCCATAAGAGCCCATGTATAAGCAGCGACTTTAATCGTTAATAACTTGAAAAGGAAATCTGAAAAAATTCTGTGAAAATTCATAGACAATTCAATTGTGATTATAAACATTCTATATGAATTCCAGATAAATGTCATTATTTACTTTTTTCGCACGGAACACCTTAATGGGTCCGGGCGGCTGAAATACCTCTTATTCACCCCGATATCCTAGTGTTTTCGCCGCCATCGCATTTAACGAATCATTCCCCGTATCTCAGAAGGGTTTTTATTTTTTTCTATCCCCTAAGGGTGTGAAATGTTTAATTTAATCATATCTCCATAAGGACACGTGTATAAGGATCATTTTGTTTATTTCAGTAGCGAAGCGGTAAGACGGTTCAAGTTGATTTTGACTATTTGCCACTTTTCAATGAATATTCCGGAATCTAAGGGAGATAGCAAAATTTTTGTTACAACCTTTTTTGTAGAGCCGATTGAGAGCTCTAACAAATGTAATTATGGAAATTTCGGTATCTCCGTTAGATTCGGAAATATTCCTTAAAAACTCAATTGGGAGATGAGTCCACTTAAACCGGTTTACCACTTCGCTTGGAAATAATCCTCAAAAACTCAACTGGGGAATAAGTCGACTTAAATCGTTTTACCACTTCGCTACTAATTTAATATCCTGATACCTATAAGTTCTAAAATTTTGAAATTGTCGCCAATGTTTAGCATGCTTCTACTACTATTAATGAAAAGAAAAAACTCTTTTAGTGAACATTGAAAAATGTCATTTTTCAAGGACATCCCTTAAGGGTATTATGGCGGGGTCCATAGTTGGAAAAAAAAGCAGAGAATTCAATGAAAATTGCTGAACCGATTATTCGATCCATTTGAAAGCCGTGTGCAAAATGTCAAAACCCCTACTTAAACAATAATTATGGGAATAATTTTTGAAGTTGCTACTTACACACGCAGTTGAATGGGGCATCGGTAATTTTTGTGAATTTCCTACGTTATCAATAGATCAATAACGTAGGAAAAGCACTAAATTGCTCTTGCATTGTATATAGAATAGTTATTTTTGCTAATAAATTAGCAATATGCTTCCGAATGGTTATTTTGTACATCATTTCCTTCTATCATGCAGAATTCATTGTTTATATCATTTTATTGAATTGGATAAGATTTCCTTTGACCTAATTTTGTCAGATTTTCAACTTAATTGAATGTTATCAGTATCATTATTCTTATTATCCCTTTCTTCTGCACAACTGATTGTCTTTTTTACAGTTCTATCTTTCCCCTGAGTTCTTCGATAAAATTTTAATAGACAAAAGTTATTTATACACACTAATTAAATAAATTTGAAACATCACATTTGAAGAAACTATCAGAATTTTCAACAATCATCATAAAATTAAAATCAACCAATATAGCTATTGTAATCACCTTTTAACTTCGACTTAATGGCATTAAAACAAACATTTTAAAGGATGATTAAATTCATTTGAAGCATGATATTCAAAGATATCCTTGGAATTCTGATTTCCAAAAAATACTAAATTTTTGAAAATTTTCGAATAAATCAAAGTAACGATCATTGCTATCGCCTTCATCTTCGAATTTGGTCAAAGGGACATCCAAGTAAATTTTTTAAGCCATCATTCAATCAATTCAGAACATTTTTGTTTAGTTATCGTTGGACAATCGATTTTCAAAAAAAATGAAAAAACTAATTGAGGAATTGAATTTTAGTTAATGGCGATCCATAGGGCTCTACAATACCTAGATTTGGAAAAAAAGAGTCAATTCCATCCATTCATCAGCGAACAATTGAAGAAAAACTTTACCACACACACACATAGATCCACACATATGTATGGACACGGTCTAAAAATTACATTGTCGACCTTTTTGGATCATAATGGGTCGATATAACACACCAAATTGAAAACTTGAATTTAGCAAAAAAAATTAGAATTAGAATGCAGCGTAACATTTTTAACGGAAGGGGCAAAATGATCTCTTTTGACTTTTTTCAATGTTCATAACTCAGAAAAAAATTCATCAATTGATCTCAGTCTAGGATCACCACGAAGGGGAAAAATTGTACCTCCCATTGAAGGGAAAGTCATTCAATTTCATTAAAAATTCAATTCATTCAAAAATTAAAAAAATCACAAGTGTCCATTTTAGATACCATCAGGCAAAAAGGTGGAAAAGCCTTTCTTATAATCTAAAAATTCCCTCCAAAATGTAACTCTCGAAAATCTCTTACAATTCACGAATGATCAACATAGGGGAG